AGTCAGTTTAATCTTTGACAATATCACCCTCACTATAGCTCAAAGTAGAGAGAATGAAATGTGCCTCGACTTTTTTCACATAATTTTATATTTGTAAATATATTTTTCATTCTTTAATCCTAGTGAAGCAGAGTGCCTGAATTATGAATAAAAGTTCTTTAATATTACGGTGTTTATATAATGGCGGTGACATACTTGTTCCACAAATGCTATAGCATAAAATTCATTCTCTTAATTTTCATTGTTTAACAGCACACAACATATTATTTAGTTGGGTACTTGGTACGGAGTTGGTACGTTCATAAAAAATGTCTTCCTGTGTGTTTGCTGCAAGAAGTTTTTATCAATAGGAAAACTAATAAGATAAATATACGCCTATGAATGCACTTCATATTGAAATTCACTCATATATCTTAAGAATATTTGAAACATTTCCATGTCCTGCGAGTCGGTTTTGTTTTTTTACTTTTGCAAAAAAAAATTCGCCTTTGCCGAAATACGTATAGAAATATACTAAAAATAACCCTCGAAATAAAAGTTAAAAGTATTAAAAAAACATAACTGACTTTAAAATCGTTTCGACGTAACAATTCAAAAATGAAAAACAAAATTGCACAGAAGTCTAAATTGAGTTTAATAAAGGTTTTAATAAATTCTTGTATATAGCCATCATATTTTAGTTTTCATTGATATGGAATTTATTTCAAGTATACCTCACTGTATATTTAACAGTGGTTTCATCCCTTCAAGTGACACTAAGAGGGATGAAGCGTGATTATAAAAATCTACTAAATTAATTTCTGCCGCAATGTCAGTCGTATTTTGCCAGCTTTTAGTTATTGACAATGATTATTTTAGCCTTAGTTAAGTACACACGAGCATTGCTATGTCAACTTTTTTCACTGAACTGAACTATCTTATAGATTATTTAACACATACATACATACATATACGTAAAATGTGGAGCACGTTTTTATCGTAGAAAACACTTATTCAAACGGTTTTATTTGTATTTTAGGTTGTCAACCTAGCAAAATTTAAATACGTTCATTCAAGAAACTTTGAAATTTTTTGTGGAAAATATTGCTTTCATTTGGGTTGACGTTGTACAAAAATTCATGTTCAAAATATCAACAATATTTATAAAAGTTAATACTTTATTTTCCCTCATTTTCCATTCGAACTGTATTTGAATATTATCTTCAGAAACTTTCGTATAATATTTAGTTGTTTGCTTAAATAAAACAGTATAACAATTGAAATAAAATCAATGAGAAACTAATAACAACTACGCAGTCCTGACCTACATTTACAAGCAAACTTTTTCATAGAATACTGCTAAAGTAGCAGTCATAGTTTGTAGTTTTTAAATAAAACGCCCTTAGATTCTTATTTCAAATAAATTTAAAATCTTAAAATGCTACTAAAAGATACAATTAATCACAAATGCGTTCGAATGTTTTATGGCAAACGATTAGCATTTCCCGTAATTGGTGAAATCTACAAGTTTTAAATAAAACTATTAGCAAATAGCCGAACTTAGAAACTAAATACTTGACATACTTGACATAGACATAATATATTATAATATAACTCAGTTAATATAAGCATTATGAACTATTAATCAACAGATAATACAAAGCAATATAATCACTTATAAGAAAATAATTATAAGTGACTTTAATTATCAAATATTTCAAAAGCTTAAATGCGAAGTACATTTAATTGATACACGTATAAGAGGGATTTTTACTTAAGCTAAAATATATCCTGGAATATCATCTAATATATTCTCGACATAAATAAATATTCTCGACATAGTAAAACAACGTGGTATTTTTGCTACTACTTAAAAAGCAATACGACTCTCTTTAATAAGAGTCTCTGGTACTATTATTGTATTTATTATAGATGAATATTTTCTTTTTATAACAATTCTACAAGCAATAGGTTATTTTAGTTGTTTCAAAAATTTATCTTGTTTTTAGATTTATTTTTTTAAAAATTTTAATTTTGATAATTATAATTATACAATTTTGATTATAATTATACAATTATTTATAAGTTTTTGTAGTCATATGGCTATAAAACTGCACAACAAAACACAACAGTGTAGATTTCTTATATCATATATTAAAATTTAAATATTATTCTCCTTATATTTTCCTCTTAAATAAGAAAGAATTTATAAACGACGACACTGTTTTGCTAATTTGGATTAGCTTTGACCTTGATATCCTTAAATTTATTTTTAAAATTTTTCCATAAAATTTTTTTTGTACTTTGACGTAATTCGCAAAAAACTAAACAAAAGGCTTCAACCTAAACCTTCTTAGTTTTGCATAGTCTTTGAATTCTGTGCTTCATCCTAAATGTACCATATTTTTTCATCACAAGCGAAGCGAAAGAATAAAATTTTGATACGCAAAAACTTGGTTTGGAGCGCTTTAGACACTCGCAATGCTGCCGTAACGTCAGTCCTTGCGTTTACGTAACTTAAAGTTCGTTGTGTAATCAAAATAAATAAGAGAATATACACGACCAAGGCACCAACTACAAAAACAATATTTGTGTTTTGTAAAAACATACTACAATCTGAACTTTTTATCTATTCTGTACCTGGAGGGTGGAACGAAGCGGTAGACGCTGCTTTCATATGCCATCAAATGTAGAGTAACTCTGCAAGAGTTAGGCGATATGTGAATTTAATTGCTTATGTGTCTATAAGAAATAATTGAACATTTCAACGCAAATTAATAAATTTTAGAAATTCCCATTATTTTCCGAGCAACTGCAAAAACTGCAGCGAACAAGTCTACCGCGCAAATCTTTCTAAATTGGAAAAAATAATTTAAAAATAGAAAGCAAACAGCAATATTTTCACGATACGCAGATAAATAATGCATGTCTATTAACATTTTTAGATGTGCAGTTGAATGGCGAAGAAAGTAGCGAAATGAACACTCAGATTCTAGTTGCTATATTTTGTTGAACACATACACTTCCAACAAAATAAGACGTCATTCCTGTTACGTATACGCCGCAGCAACCACGTGAATTGAAGGACTTTCGAATTTGTTGTGAAATTGTAAAAGTAAACATATATTCGAGTATGTGTTTAGATAAATCGTGTAAACATAAACACCTCTTTTTTACACTTTGGCTTTGGTTTGTTTTCTGTAAGTGCGTTCGTAATTGTAGTTTTAATATTTTCGCTTTAAAATTTTAATAATTCCTACAATAAACACTAGAATCATCAAAACAGCTAACAAATGGATGCAAACTTACCTATTTAACAGTTAAAGGAATGAGATTAAGAAAATATTTGACCTGACACAATTCTTTGAGAAGTAACTGTTACAAAGCGGTGAACGATTCTAAGATGTGACTTTAAAAACAGAATATGGCAACACTCTGTTAGTTAACAGATTTCTCGCAGTGATTGGTTAGAAATGAAAGCCTTTTAGTTAAAAGCAGCCTTCATTCTATTTCTATAATTGAAAAAAAGTTTTTTGTTATTGAATATGTACGACGACGTATCCTATAAATGCTTCTTAGTTTATATTCTTTTGTATCATATACACCTCAACATTTTTTCTGCTCTTTTCGTTTTTGTTTCCGTTTCATTTTCATTATGTTTCATTCCCATTTCAAGTGTTCTGCTTATAAACTCACATGCTGTGCGGCGTTTAGTGAGTGCCTTACATTCTCATTTTATTTTATCCACTTACCTATGTGAACTACGTCAATTGGACGAGCCTCCTTGCTCAATGTTAACATCTACTTACCTATATACTTTACAATCTACATATGTACTTTTATTTTTAGTACTTTTCATTTTATTTCGTGTCTTTTTATTTTGACACGCATTCGAACAATTAATGCGAAAAGGCCTTAATGTGTCATTCATACGAAATCTTCATGATTCGCATTCAAATAATCCTTGGCTTGAAGTCTTTTCACATCTAATCAAATATTTTACAAAAGCTTTGTGAAATGTTAAACAAACTATTATAATAGCCAGGTTTAAAAAATACATGTAATTTTGAAACAAAGGTTAAAGATTTGGATACTAAGTAAGGTTACTCATTGTAAAAAATGAATGACTTTATAGAAATTAAACGTTGTATAATTGTATTATACAAATGTCATATATTCCCTCACACTATTTGATTCTAACTGGTTTAGTTTTTATGCTTTTATTTATTATAATAATTATTAAGCAATACAGAGCAATGGCAACAAAGGCCCGAAGCTGACCGGCCTATGGGTTTATATATTTTATGTATCATGTTTATTAAAATTTACCTTCATCTCTACAAATTAAACTTTCGCCCACATCGTGTTTTAATAATGCCAAATTATTTTCTACGTGTATGCATAATTTTTAGACCAAAATTCTGTTACTCAATGAGAGGCAATTAGTTGAAGTATAAGCCATAATAAAGTTCATTAATTAAGAACAACCCAGGCAATGTCCTTGTCGCAAACGGAAAAGGATAATGGAGCAAAATACCTGTTTATATACACATGCATAGTAAATATTGATCAAACATACAAAATGGTTATGTGTAATGAAAGAAAGAGTCTTTTGTGGAGGAACTGGTTCATTTATCGAATGTGCTGAATATTGTACCATGTTGTTGTCATTTGACTAATGGACTTCACAAGGATTTGCGACTTGTATATTTGTTTCTAATTAAAACACATTATAAAATTTTAATCCAAACGCAAAGTAACATTTTGTTTTGTGCTTGAATATAAATTAGTATGAAATTGAAATAGATCTTGCATTTTTTAAAAAATGTATTTTATATACTCATCTTAAAGTTGTAGATCCATCAATTTGAATTGCATACTTTAGACATTTTTATTTAAAATCAAAACACTTGAGCGACGAAAGTGTAAAAGATTACTTAAAGAACGAACTTTTATAAAATAATTGAATAGAAATATAAGTGTTTATTAAATATTTGTGATTTAAATGCTAAAGAGTTTTTAAATTCAAACATAAAATATATACAATTAAGGTTGAAAAACGAGAAAAAATTGTCGTAAATTTTTTATTTGTTGATGGCTGCTACTAAAATAATTGATGCACCTCGAAATGGCCATGAAATGGCGCCACTGAATACACGCGCCCGCGGCGATGGCACCCATGGAGTTACAATTGTGCTCACTGCACCTCAACGCAATTCTGTCAGTTCAGTCGACATACCCGGCGAACCAGAGCGAGCAGCATGGTCTGGCAAGATGCAATTTTTCCTCAGTATTATTGGCTACTCAGTGGGGTTGGGAAACATTTGGCGTTTTCCCTACTTATGTCAACAGAACGGGGGCGGTAAGTATTCATTTAATCAGAATTTCTTGTGTTTGCATCAGTAAATATAATGTTAATGAAAACCGAGAAATGATGTAACTTGCTATCACATTTCAGAAACTAAAACCATATATAATTTAAATCTGATGTTGAGTTTCCTTTATCTATATTTTGTAGAAATGACACATATGTATCAATATTAAATAAAAATTTCAATGTCATAAATCATATAAATAAATCACTCAAAAGAAAAGTAGTAAAATTTAAAATAACAAATTCATATCTCAATCCATTACTTAATGTTTAAAAAGTGAAATTAGCTATCCAGGCAGAATTGTTTAATCACATTAATTGAAATACTCCGGCATCCCTTACTTCAGTAGAAAGACAATAAAGATATTAGCTGCAACAAACAGTTGAGGAGAGTTTAATAGATATATTAAGGAATTGTGCGAAATTATATGGAATTAATTGCATATAGAGATGTGTGACTATCATATTCATATCATACGAAACAAGCATGTAGGTATGCTTTCTAATTAATTTAAAGCCGACTTAATAAATATTTGAAATATTTTGATATTAGGTATTAGCATGTTATTCAACCGGTAATTGCCCAGAATTCTACTGCACTTGTACTAATTTCACCACAAGCATCACCACAGGCTTGGAATCCTTTAATTGTCCTGCGTGCACTAAATGTCACGATCAACATCACACATCATTTTAATATATCAGAGACATTACATATGTGTGACATTAATTGACAGAAAGTGCAGACTGAATAGCATAAAGTTTTCTTTTCATACCTATTTTATTGGTGTCGCGTCTTTTCATACTTTCATATTTACCTAATTGAATTTCTGTAGAAATTTATATACAGCTTTTAAAGAGACACATATAGAGATTTAGCCAACAGTAATAATAATAGTAAATATACAAATAAATTTTATCTTAAATGATGCTTTTGAAAATTCAGATACACTCCCATGTCACTTAATTGTTTTTTTTAGCTCCGGAGAGAAGTATGGTATATAGTGTGAATTCCCAAAGTAACTAGAGTTTTGAGTTCGCGTACATTGTATCTTGTTTATCAAGTAAATTTTTTGGGTAGTGGTTGCATTGCCAGATAGCGTGCTGTCAGATAGCCGTGACTGAATGAGCGATTTTTTATGTGGTTAATGTTAGATCAGAAAATTTTGTGTGATATATTGTGTTCAAGACAGAATTGAAAGGAGTAAAATATTCAAATCATTGAATGGATTTAGCAACAGAACTATATCTCAAACAGAAGCTTATGATGTATAAAAGTCCTTAAGAAGGTCGATAACACAATGAATATAACGCAGATAAAGGTTGTGAAAAAAGATACAGGTTGTGCTAGCTAATACAAGAACTTTTGATAGAGTGGGTGATGAAGATGTATCATCCGGTTGATGCGAAACAATTTTTATATATGTTTTGGATATGAAACGAGCAGATACGAAACCCACAACTTTTGACAAAACATCATTGTACAATCGCTAGCATGTTATTCTCCAGGCATGCTATCTTGTTCATCGGTTTTTTCTATTTATGAAACTCTTACCTTATTTATTAAAGCTTTTACCTTATATTTTAAAATTGAGTATCCGTCTTTTAGAGTTACTTTTTTTCCCATGGAATCGAAAGACCACTTCCGAAATATTTACATGTTATTCTGAATGTGGCATCAATTTATTTATTACACAAACCTTTGGAAGTTAGGACAGTAAAAATATGCAAACGTCTTAACATCAAACTCATAATATTAATAAAATGTGATTTCTTCAACAGCAAGTGTAAAAGTATAATTAAATGACTAAGACTAAAGGTGCCATAGATACCCGTACTATCTTTACCTTCACGCTCATTTTATTTCATTTTTTATATATTTGTTTGCAGTGACTATAACGAATTTTATTTTCATATTACACTCGTATATATCTATTGAAGTATATATATATCATAGTTATATATCATATAACTAATTGCACTCGTATGTAGCCACCAAAATTCTGAAAAATGCACTGACACATTTTGAAATTTAAACTTTTACCTTTTTACCTCGAAAAGTCAATAACTCTTGAAATATTTGCATTCCTCGTAAAATTTAATGCAACCTTAATCAAAGAAAAATAATTTTGAATATTAAAGAAACTTCAGAACGAATTCAGATTGCAAAAATTGGTTTAAATACAGTAAATATCTCATCGATTTTGATTTGCGGCGCTTCTTGTTTATTGTTGTTTGATTTGATTAGCTTTTATTTTTCTGCGTAATTCGAGTCCTCAGCCCGCACCTTGAACTTGTTGGCGTTTACTTATTGTTTATTTCCATTGGCGAATGCACAGAAACATGACTGGCGATGTTCATATAACAAATCTGCCTTGTCCCATAGAACGCACGGGTACGTCACATGTACTATTGTTTCTGTACTCGGTTTGCAAACTCGGCGCTTTTGCTACAGAAATTATATGACAATGCGAATGCAATAAAGCAACTCTAAGCAGTTTTATTTTTACTCTGGAATTCACGTCAATCGTCAGTCACTCACTATATGTCACCCTACCGAAGAACGGTAATATTGTACAATAGATTAGGTGGTTAGCTGTTAGGACAAAATTAGTGCTATTGGGTAGAGTGAACAGAAATGCACGAAAGTGGCTTTTGTGTTCGCATGTAACTGCAGAGGTGTGGGCTCATGGAGGTGAATTCTTTGACTAAGTTGGATTTACCTATTCACTTCACCACCCGTTGTTTATTTAATAATTATTATTGTGGTGTATGACTCAAAATTTGTGCAAATTCCAACTGCACAAATAGTTACTTTGGTGAGTCCTTGGTTTAGAACATTTGCCCAATAATTATGTCGAAAAGATGCCGCGCGCAATGGCTGCTATGGGAGTGAATTCTTTTAAGTTCATATGCACTAATTGTATGTGATTCTATTTGGTGACAGATTTCGTATTCGTATTTCATTCAATGTACTTAATTATATTGGTTGAGGTTGTCACAGACGGACGGACCAACATATTCTAGTTTGAATCGGAATTTACTGATTAGGATGAATTGAAAATTAAATTGAATGTCGTTGCACATATTGAGGCAGACATTTTATTTAAGTGGTATGTTTCATACATGTCATGTTAATTACTACTCTCGATAAAACCATTTGTTTGTAGGTAGTAATTGCAAAAATATCTTTGATATACATTCTTCAATCTTTGAAATCAATATTTCTTGCAAAGAATTTAATCACTATATTAGATACTGCTTTATGTTTAAATAATCTGGAAACTTCCCCCTTCATGTTTAAAATTACTACGTGCTTATCCTCGCTATGCATCTACTCTTAGAAATGTGAAAAAATAGAAAATATGTAAATATATAATAAGGATTTCAGCCCCCGAAGTACGTTTTAAGAAACTAAACTATATCTTATAAAGTTATTTTTTTTCATTGCCTTATACGAAGCTTTCATAGTTTACTACCAAAAATCCTATTTATAGTTAGTGGATTGTAATTATATAGGTGTTCAGATGTTATTTCAGATGTCCTTAGTATTATTTCGTCACTACTAAAAACGTTATCAATTAATTTAGATTAGGAAATAATTATAGTAAAATTATTATAGAAAAATCAAAGGGACTTTCTTTCTTTAGATATATGAAAATCTGGAGTGCACCTAAATATTCGCTGTTTTTATTTGCTGAATATTGGTTTTGTTCTTTAAAGTAATTATATTCTTAGCTACTGTTTCCAGGACAGGTGATTAACGCCTCTCTCTTTTAGTATTTTTGAATCTACATTTTATTAAAATTTCTTCAACATATAAACTTATCTTTAATGGTTATGAATTTTTTAAAGAAAAGGGAAACCAAAACTCAAAAAATAATCAAACATGCAAATGCCAAGTCGTAATCCAATAAAGACTTTGTTAAACGAAACGAAAATAAAATTGATTTAATGTCAGATTCTTTAGTGGGTTTTGCACTAAGTTAAGTTTTAGCAATAATCGCTGCTTGTGCCTTTAAATTTAATAATAGTTTTTTATGTTCGTATTTTGTATTTATAGGTGCCTTCCTGATACCATTCATGGTTATGTTAGTGCTGGAAGGTATTCCGCTCTTCCTCATTGAGCTGGGCATGGGTCAGCGCATGCGTTTGGGTGCGCTTGGTGTTTGGAATACCATACATCCCTGGTTGGGTGGAATTGGCATATCATCCTGCATAGTAACATTATTCGTTGCACTCTACTACAACGTCATCATAACGTGGGTCTTTTACTATTTATTTAACAGTTTTCGGGTAAGTAGCTATAATAAAGTTAAATATTTAAGGTAATTAACAATAAGATATTTGTTTCGTTATATGGTGCTTAGTATCCCTTACCATGGGCTTCGTGTCCTACAAATGGCAGCGCGGTGGTAGAAGAATGTGCGCGTTCATCAGAAACAGCTTATTTTTGGTATCGCACTACTCTAGACGCAGCTCCTTCTATGGATGAGTCAGGCGGTCTAAAATGGTGGATAGTGTTATGTTTGCTGCTCTCATGGACCGTGGTCTTCTTTATTGTTATGAAGGGTATACAAAGTTCCGGCAAAGTGGTTTACTTTACTTCACTTTTTCCATATATTGTGCTGACAATTTTCTTCATACGCGGTATAACTCTGCGTGGAGCTAGTGCCGGTTTAATGCACATGTACACACCTAAAGTAGAAAAGTTAGCAGATCCAACGGTGTGGCTTGACGCGGCTACACAAGTCTTCTATTCCTTCGGACTAGCGTTTGGTTCACTTATTGCGTTCGGAAGCTACAACACTCCTAAAAACAATTGCGTCCGCGATGTTTTGCTGGTCTCAGTTTGCAATGCTGTGACGGCGATCTATGCGAGTGTTGTTATCTTCGCTATTCTCGGATTTAAGGCCACTGTAAATGTGGATCGCTGCATAGACCTGTAAGTTAAATTAAAGTATAACCACGTGGGCGCTTTTCCACAACAATAAGAACAGCAAATGCATTGATTAATTGTTGAATTGTTAAATTGATAAGAAATCATCACGAAGCATTTTCAAGTTTATGCAAATTAATTGATTGATGTCCTTCACATGCACATGTAAACCGGTGGCGCCATACGTCAATGCAGCTCCCATTGCTTTGCGTATGAGACACTGATGTGTAAAATGTAGAATAAGCCTCTCTGCGTCTCTACAAGCACTTCGGCCATTGCACAATAAATGCATTTTGATTGGCAATTAATTGCCGTAATTTAGTGAATTCTCTATTTGTAGAATTTGCAAAGGTCTTATTCTTCAATGTTTAACGAAAATCTATTTACTGCAACGAAGGGGGCTTAGAAAAACAACTAAAAGTTAGAAACGGAAAATAAATACCAAAATCAATAGCAAAATAATTTAGGATTGGAAATGAACTGGTGCGTTCAATGAAAACGTTAGCCCTGCTAGAAGGTTATGAACTCAAATACAAATAGATCTCAACATTTCGCAGCCTTTTGGCAATTTTAGTTTTAATTCAAAACCTATTGAATAAAAAATCCTATTATTTTGGGTTTCTAGTGAAATGGAGTGCAGTAATCATTTTAAAAAATTTGTGATTAACTCTAATTAAATATATTATATTCACCCTTTTAGATGAGGATAAATTCGTCGCTTGTTAAAGTTGTCTTAATAACATATCTATGAGTAAAGTAATCCACAAAAATATGGCTTCATTCATTAAGTTATTAAAAATAGCTCTTTTCTAAATATCGAAGCAATCAATAATAGGTAGAATATAAGATCTCTACGTGACTTCTATCCTGTTAAATTTTCATAAGTCTTAATACATTATCGATTTAATTTAGTTTTTTATGAGTAATATTATCCTTACCATAGCAATAAGGAAATTTTGGTAAAACATAAGCTTTTACCATTCACCAACGCTACAATGTCGGAGTATGAGAATGTGATGAAAACACTTAACGGTAATGAAACGAAGACTTTGGAATTGGAGGAGTGCAGTCTTTCGCAGCAATTAGATAACGTACGTTGCGGATAGTCTATCAGATAATATCAAATGTATATAACGTTATTTAAATCTTTAGGCTGCTGAAGGTACTGGTCTTGCCTTTATTGTTTTCACCCAGGCCATTGTCGAACTGCCGGGAGCACCGTTCTGGGCGGTGCTTTTCTTTACTATGCTGCTATCGCTAGGATTGGGTTCGCAAATTGGCATCCTGGAGGGCATGTTGTGCACACTGTTCGACATAGACATTATAAAGCGGGTTAAGAAACAACATGTGACTGGTGTGGTATGTCTGTTCTGCTTTATTGTCGGTTTAATCTTCTGTACAGGTGCAGGCGAATACTGGTTGAAAATGTTTGACTCTTTTGCTGGTACCATTGGCTTGGTAGTGGTGGCTTTAATGGAGATGATAGCCGTTGTTTACATATATGGACATGAGAGGTAACATTAATATTAAAGTAATCAAAGTAAAGTATATCAATACAAAACTGTATTTAATAGGTTTACGGAGGATATTTACCAAATGACTGGCTATCGACCGGGCATATATTGGCAGCTTACTTGGCGTTATATTGGGCCTGTTATAATGGTTGCTATATTGGCTTCATCTGTAGTGTTTATGATAATTAAGAATCCAACTTACAGTGCTTGGAATGCCGAATTGGTAAATTATTAAGTAACCAACTACTGTTTCAAACGTAATAGAGTACTTTTTCTATTTTTAGGGTCAAGTGGTACAAACAAGCTATCCAACTTGGATTATGGGCATTGCCTTGGCCATGATATTAGCGGGTATATTACCGATGCCAATTGTGTTCCTTATGCGCAGTTTCCAATGCCTGAAGGTTGATTTGGATATACACCAGGGCTCAATACGGAGAAACGAAACAACAGCATCGACGAAGGAAATGATCAACAATGACGATGATGATGTGAGTACAGTTAAAGAAACAGGTAGTAGCACACTCTTAGGAGTATGTCAGAGCTCATATTGTGACTTTGATTACTACTATTTATTAAGCTTATGTGATGTATGTGATATTAACAAAAAAAAAAAAAACTGTAGTATTTTAGAGTGAAAAGCCAAAAAAAAGTCATTTACGGTACATTGTGTAAAATACTTCTCAACTTTCTACATATTTGTTGAAATTTATATAAACTAATAATTTGATATCATTATATATATTTAAATATTTTGAAATGTATATTGTGTGCTAAGCCACCAAATCATTTACATAATAACACTTTTACTTTAATGCTTCCGTACGTTCATTTAAATAATAACCAATCAGGTCATGAGTCCGGACATGCCACCTCAAGATTCATTAGCGGCGACACGCTTTACTATTGGAGATTTCGAAGTAAGTTTGTAATTAAAGCAAAGTCCTTCTTTTCTTAGCGAATCATTAAGGCATTATGATCAACTAATTAATTTTCTTTTTTGCTTCCTATACAAAAATTTGCTTAGAACTAATTTATTTTAAACGTATACAACTCAAATCACAAAGGATAATAATATATGGATTCTCAACTCAGAAAAGGCTTTAAAATTCAATAAGAAAAGTCAAAAAAATATTCTGGAAAACACAAATCAAAAACATAACTCAAGCCTTTAAAAGGTAAAAATATAAAGATTAGCTTTAGCGATTAGTTACAAGGAATACGCATCGATATTAATATTATAAACGTCATTAACTTAATCGACTCCATTGAAATCGTTCATCTGACATTGTCCATAAAAACGAGTGCATCCAATGAAAAAACCACTAAACACATTTTCGAAAAGATTTTAAAAGCAATCTTATTCGCGCCTTCTATGAGAAAAGGATAAACTAGTACTTAACGTTACTTTACACTTTATATGCAACAGAAACTTTTAACAATTATAGATATACAAATAAGGATATAAGTACAACGTCGTTTCTCTAATCTTAAGTCTAATTTAAACGGCAACAATCTCGCATACTGATAGCTAAATTAAGCAAATCGTTTACAAAACAAAAACTTGAATTGCAATTAAATTTAACACAAGCAATTATATAATTATTAAATTAAAAAAAAATTAATATTGAACTAAGCTAAGTTTAAAGCCCAGAAGGATAGCTCAAGTTTCGATAATTATAAGCTAAGTAAGTTTTGATTGGATTGGATTTATTCTACTTGATGTAGCTCCGGTTAGCAGTTATATTACCCATGTATTAATAATTAGTTCTTATAACTCAAAAATGATTTGAATGTACAATAATTTATCGTGTGGTGTGGAATTAGTTTTGCTGGCTTTTATTAAAATTTATATTAACATCAAACAGTTTTGGTTAAAAGCAAAGCACGAAAGGCGTACTGCTAAAAGGTAAAATTTTCGATATTTATTTTTAAATCGTTATATATCCATTGATATGTATATTTGAAGTTATATACTTTTTGCTTTGTATAATAATTTTTTTTTTGGTTTTTAAATATCATTCAATGTCTGCGCTACTGTGCTGCCTAGTTGTACACTACTGTGCACCTCAAACTGTAAATTATGCATTTGCACCAAATAGTGCCACACATACTAACAATGCTATTGCTTAGCATTATAACTAAAAATTAATATAATTCAAGGCACTGTAATTATAGATAATATAATTATTAAAAAATTATAACTAGTTTATGCGATTCAAATATGTATTATAATGTGGTTTCCTTAGGAGTATTCGTATCGTTCGTCTTCTGAATATATGGTATTAATCCTAATTCACATATGAGAAATTTGAAAAATGATTTAGCTTATGCCAAATAATGTTTTTTTAATCAAATAAGCTTACCAGTTTGAATTATAATTAATTACATTTAATTCTCTGCTACTATTAATATCTAATACGAAAACGGAAACAAATTAAAAGTCTAATATATTAGTATAGGGATTAAAAGTGTTTACAAATTTTTTAAATTTGTGTAAGAAAAATATCTTCCTTTATTTAAACTGAGGATACTTTAAAAAACATTAATGAACATATATTAATCAAATGAAATTAATATTTAAATCTCAATGTTTTCACTTTCCGTGGTGGCACTAGATGTGTAGGCAGGGCTCCGAAATGGAACCATGTGTATGAATTGATTTGACGGCTTCAGGTCTGATACAGAAGTAAAGATTTATGGAAATTTATATCTCTGTAATCAGAACGAGCCATTGTAACGGTCATTAGACGGTCATTATAACTTAATCTCACCTAATGTTTTTATTTTACATGTTAGAACACCTTCTAATGATATTTAAACTGTACTTTTTGGCTGCTTTTATTACAGTAAAGGCAAAATAAATAAACCGAAAAAAATTTATTTATATAACGGTTATGTTTTGAAAAACGTATATTTGAATTAAACTAATATTAAATAGAGTCTCATTACCCTTTTTCCATAATATTATATTAAACTATATAAAAGATACGCTTTAACACGCTACAAAAATATTTTTCATAAAATCCATGTAGCGACGGCATGTTTCATGCCAAATCCGCACTGTAAGAGAGAGTCTCATTACCCTTTTTCCATAATATTATATTAAACTATATAAAAGATACGCTTTAACACGCTACAAAAATATTTTTCATAAAATCCATGTAGCGACGGCATGTTTCATGCCAAATCCGCACTGTAAGAGAGAGAAATTGATTCAAAACAAGCATATACCTATGTTATAAATTTTTCCACAATTCAAGCAAATAAATTATTGAATCATAATATAAAAAGTGTAATTGTTTAGTTTTGTTTTGTCATTAATAAGTGTATTTAATGTTTTTACGATTTATATATGATTTATAAACATAGATCGATTATGTTACTGCATGCATCCATTCTATATTGAACAAACTTCAATTATATGCTTATTTACTGTTATAAAAATATTGCAGTATGATGATGACTTCAGTGGCCCAGCATTGGGTGGACATGTCAAAACCAATAGCGACTATTCGGACGAGGATGATGATGAGGATGACAAGCCTGTAACGATGCGTAGTCCGGGTCGCAACCGTTTTACTGGAAATCATCTAAGTGTGCCAACTAATAAGAAATCATTTAGAATGGAAGTTTTCGAGTTGTAGGTAAAATTATTATGAAAACAGCAAAAGAAATTGTAAAATGCTTGTTAAGAGTACGAATTTTAATCTAAATTATGTAAACATTAATAATCAAATTATTAGATATAAATAAGTTTAAGTGTAAAATGAACAAAAGTGAAACATATTTACGAAATTATTTTAAAATTTTCATTATAAGAATTCATATGTATGAGATAAGTGAGACCAGAGACTCCTCTAAGGAATTTTAAATGGTTTTAGGTTTATTGCTATAAATGATATTATATAAAAGAAAAAGCGTTGAAAAAGAATATATTAAATACAAATACTTATGATTATAAAATAAAACAAAATTAAACTAAACAATATAAAAGTCGGGCGGGTGGTGAATGGCGCACTCCCACGATCATCCAAGGTTTTGAAGTCACTATGTTGAATAGTTACGCGCATATGTAGTCCCTTTTAATGAAATAAATTAATTGTTTTAAAATATTAAAATATTACTATTTACTTTTATGTAGAAACTGTTAAAAATAACTCAGTTATATATTATATACATTTGCTTTATAATTTAATATACCGCATTTGTCAAGAGTTCAACTCTGTATTAATCACTTAATTTTCAAACATATTCCTACAATTTAATCGTACTCGTAGATTTAGTTGAAGAGTGTTTTTAAAATATATTTTAATTAAGTAGACGTTTATATGTTTTTGCTTCTATTGCTAATGAATTTCATATAAGAGAAAAAAAACTAACTATCAATTAACCCCAACGTACTTTAAAAATCACATTAAATAATTTCAAATATAGTTTAAAATGACTTTAAATTTATGAATGTGTGATATTAATTAATATCCTCTAATTGTATAGTAAGCAAAGTTTTAGATGTATACATAAATCGAAATTAAGTTATTAAAATATCAAAACGCACTCGATAAATATATAGTAACAATTCTCATGTAGTTTGAAAATATTTTAATTATTTACAAATAATTATGTATAAAATAATTTTTGCGAATAAATATATAATATACAATATAAAATATTTATATAAGGTTTTATAGAATTAAGAATGATTAACTTAAAAGATGAAGTTAATATATTATTTTAGCACAACTCAAACTGTTATAATTTACGTTTTTATGGACGTGTATCAATAACACTTAAACTGTTTGCGCCATTTTGTTGTATTTTAATTCTTGAAAATTGGTAAAAAATTGAATTGTTGCGTTATGTGCGAAAAACTATTAATGCAATATAATAATTGATTTATTATTTAATTGAATCACATTTCATTTCATATTTTAAAATCATATTTGTCTAGTTATTTTTTTTACTTAGTTTTACTTACATATAAAATGATTAAAAAAAGTCGATTTGTGTTCAATTTGTCTTTTCAAAATTTAAATTAAATAAATTGATATTATGTTTTATTTATAAACGATGCTATAAATATACATTACAAGTTTACAAAGTAATTGAATTGATATGCTAACTTCTTTTACAATATTTTTAACAAATATTCGTTTAAATTAATTTATCATTTTTAATTTGAATTTTCTTTTGCAAACATAACATAACAATATGGAATACGTATATTATTATCTTTATCGAAAATAATTTTTAAGTGTACATAAACTGCGTTTGTGTTTATAAAATTCCAAATTATGTACGTGCATGTGCCACTTGTTTTAATCATAATTTTAGGGCCACGTGAAGGTAAAACAATAGTATTTCGAATGAAAACACTGCTGTGAATAGTTTTAGTGGTTGTAAAGAAGTTATTCATAGTTTTTAAGATGAAAGATTATATTGAAAAATCTGTTAAGCATACATACAGGGTGACATACAAATCAATTTGTCTATGTAACGAATAATGAAATTGTTTTTGTTTGTTATATGTTATATTCGTTTAAGTGAAATAAAATATATTATAAAGCATAATAATCAAATGTTTAAATAGTTTATATAGTGCTGCTGACATATTTGTAATCTACTTAAAAGAAATTAATAGACATATTAATTGCGATATAAAAAACTCATTTTTAAACAAATATTGATTTTTTAACTTTTACACTTTTTGATTTATTTATTCCAGCCTAAAGAAATTTAACTTTGCAGTGCTTTCAGAACTGTATGAATTCAGGAAAATTTAAACTAGACTAAGTGAGAGTATTTAATCTATAATTAATAGGTTGAAATTATTTTATTATGATTTCAAAAAAATGTTTCAAATTTAAAATAGTAAATGCGTTAAAAAGGAGTGAATTTGTAATTATTAAATAAGAATACAAATTATCGTAAAATTTTGATATAGTTTTAGCCTTTAAAAAAAAACACACTTTACTATAGGTACAATATCAGAAATGGTAGAAAATTTAATACTGCTTAATATATATATTTTTTTTTTTGAGGACTTACAAAATGTACTTGTATATTTTCACCTTATTTAGGAATTCGAGTTTTTTCTGAACTTTAAATCTAAAAAGTCCGTGGATAAAGAGACTTTTGTTTAACTGATTTGCGGTAAGTTTTTTTCTAACATATATAGTACTAAAATCTAACAACAAAAATTTTTATAATAAATTTATTAATGATTGCGGATTATGCTTTCGTTCTTTTATAATATAGCAAAAGAATGTGTTACTAAACGTAACAAAACTCTAAGTTAGGATAACTTCAGCGGTGTTAGGTTAGTTAAGTGACACTACGCTACAAATTTGGCAATTGCAGTTTAACACTAGATACTTGTACTTTAAAAAATTATTTACTAACAATTTAATTCAATAAATAATGAATTAAGTCCAAAGACCGCAAATTGACAAGGAATCAAACAATAATATTTTGTTGTTGTAATTCACAAATGTTCTTCCAAAACTGTTTTTTTAAAAACGATTTCTTTTGTCATTTTATCTTAGTTATTTTATAACATTCTGTCAGAGGAAATGACAGGAAACATTTTTGAGAACAGCAAAAATTTAAAAAACATTTTACAAGTAAAATGAACTTCAAATTAATCTTGGTTTGCCATAATGTAACATAATGTCACCCTGCAGGATAACGGAAAATGTGAAATTATAATATGGAACCTTAATAAAATAATATAATTCGTTAGAATAGTTTTTTAAGCGGCATTTTTATTTGATTGCAATCGTAACACAAACCAATTTTTGATTATAGCACTATTAGTTAAGTTAAAATTTTAAAACTACTAAAAGATTACATTTAATTTATATTTTTAATAAAATGAATTATTTAGAAATGCTAACAATTTACATATGATTTCATTTATATAATCATTTGTAATATTTAGCTCAGTTTAAAATAATTTTTAAAATAATTTTATTTGAAGTTGTACAGAAATTTGTTTCAAAATGATGTCCTTAGGTGAACAAATTATTAATAAATTCTTCTCATATGTTTCTCTTAAAAGTTAATAGTTGTATTCGAAGAAAGCATTTTGGTTATTCTTTTGCAATTTTTAATTCGATAGTTTAATAAAGACAATAAATAAATTTTTAAAGTATTAGTATATTTTAATAAAAAATTTGACCTAAGATTATTTTAAATAAACTGAATTTTTTTTTTTTGATTATCAAATAAATATAATTATTATAAAATTTACAGAAACTAATAATCTTTAATGTTAATTAACTCCAAAAATCATAACTAAGTGTCGAAAATGGAAAACATATACATACATAAATGTTAATAAATAATTCAATTTAAGATATTTTAATTATTATTATCATAATCAATATTTATTTTAAAACTTTTTAGTTAAGCTAAGCATTTAAAAGATTCATAATCGCACTAAGATTTCATTTAAAATTTATGAAATATCCATTATTGTTTTTTCTTGTTTTATAAAAACATAAATATGTACATATATACATTGATATATTAAATTACTTATAATAATTTATTATCCTTATTATATTTTTAATAAATTTAATAGTTCGTTAAGTTGAAAATATTTGAAATCAGTTTTATTTCGTTCTGAGATATTGGAATGTATGTGTTCCATTTACGTAGTTCCTTTCAAATTGGGTGTCCTTAAATGTCAAGTAATGTACCGGCAAAGAGCTTTCAAATAGAATGTTTTATGGTGTGAATAAATAAATTTGCTTCTTTATTTAATTCCAGAATCGTAGGGCTTTTGGTTCTTTGCGTGTTTACTGTGATACTGGCGACTGTAAACCATAAACTTAAATAGTATGTTATGTATTTCAAAAAAAGAAATATTTAATAAGAACGATAAAGAGCATGAATACTTATTTAATAGAATATTTTAATTTGTTTACATTCAAGAAACAACATTTTTAGTACACATTCATTCTGACATTCAAGTTTTAGAAAAATTGCTCAATAATATTCACATAAAAATTAAATATTAAAATAATTTCGAACTTTGTATTATTTACACACAGAAAACACAGAAAATTATCAAATTGTGTTATAATCGGTATCCCTAACCTAGTACGAGTTTGAACAGATAAGCTTATCTTTCCATTGCATTTAGTTGAGAACAATATTAGAAATTTAGCTGATGTTAATCAGTTTGAGTATTGAAAATTACAATATGATTTTGTTGTTATTTATTTAACTTAGACAAAATGTTCAAAATTACCAAACATTTACATTACTTTACATCTAGCAATGTCGTAAATATAATATCGAACCAAATCCAATATCATAGAAATTAATCAAGATTAACTATGGCCTAGGTGCCATAGTTAATCTTCTATGCAAGCCACTAAACTAAATTAAATAGAAGACAGATAGTCCTTTAAATAAAGCTTATATTTATTATTTATTTAATATTTCTAGCTTATTTATATAATATTTCTCGTTGAAAGTTTTCTAAGAAAGAAGTCCTTAGCTTAGTACTCTCCTCCTGACGCAATCTTAGTCAAACAATTACAAAGAATATAACAAAACGTCAAAACGTCTGCCTACAAATAGAGCTACCATTGTGTTTTCTTAGGTGAACTCATTTTATTGAGATGAAAACGCACAAAACATTATCCCAATAAACAGTCTCCCATATTCTTAGCTCTGATCTACTCAAGAGTGAATCGATACTGTAGTTGATAGTACGAAATAACACCAAAACTTGACAAACACTGGCCAATTGATCAATAATGACGTGAGTGAAACGTGTAAATATATTAAAAAAATTTCCAGCGATTCTGTTGAGAAAATAGTCAACATATCTTAAAAGAACAACAATATGTATAAATTCTGGAAAAAGGGTGATAAAAAAGAAAAAAGAAAGAAACGGGACCTATTTATTTGGGACCTATTACAAAAACATGAAAAATATTAATCTGACAAGAGTGCAGTGCGAAAAATGAAGTTGAAAAGTGCCGTATACCCATCGATGTATTCCAATGTACTTATATAGATGTATTGTATACTGTATGGCGTATACAACAATTATATATATCATCAGTAGATGAAAATATTCCGTCGAGAAGAACTGCAAATATTTCCTTTAAATTTCTTTAACAGCAAAACTAAATTCAGACAACATAATTTAGAATCAAATATTCTTAAAATATACTTCTGATAAAACAATAAACACAAATAATTATTAAATAACACTTGATAAGGTTTCAGAGATATGCAAACGAATATTTGAAATGAATTTTCGAAAAACGAAAGTGATAAGTAAGTATAAAATGGAAATTCTTATCAGCGGTGGCGCTTAGGTTGAAAGCGACCCCTAATTGCTCTGTAGAATAATTTCTTTTCAATATTTAATGACTTAATAATGTGGTTAAGTAATTATGTTTATAGATGCGAGGCTTCTGTAAAGTAATTTATAATAATGATTCTACACTTTTTATTGATTCTATGAGTCAAAGATAAGAGTCTTTATATGGTTGTAAAAATTGAATACTAAACACAAAAGCGACTTTTGGAGGTAGAATTAAGAAGAAACTAAAAAGAAAAATTTGGTAAATATTAAATAAAAAATTACCTAAAACTTTGATTCAGAAAATGTGAAGCGCAGAATCAAGGTGCATGTAGGGCACTTTTTATAGTAACATAAACCTATTTCATTTTTTGTTGTACTTCTTCTCTAAACAATATTAGTTTATATCAGTTAAACATGTTTATTATCTTATATAAATAATTTACAAACATATATTAAAATTATTTTCTTAATTTTTAATTTAAAAAAAATTAAAGAACCTAAATCTTTTTATGGAATTAAATTTAAATATTTGCATATTTGGCAAAAAGTTTTCACTCATTCGGAGCAATGTAGGAAATAGTCGTATCTTATTATGAAAATTCACTAGTACGACAATGAACATTGACCCATATTTATTTTGAGTCTCCGATGTTTACAATATGCAATCTATTGTCGTTAAAAATAGCGCAAAATAGCAAATTAATTAAAAACAACGTTTGGGCTTATCAGTTATGGTAACTTAAAAGCTGCTAGTGGTCGGCCACTAGTCCAGTTTTTGTGCCACAAACTGATAGTGAAACAATTAAAACTAAAGTTGTTGGAGGAAAATCGTGAACAGCTGGTTTGACGGCATTTAAAACACCACATAAACAACCACCAGCAAAGAAGAGAGAAGGAATTTTTAAACTAATTTAAAACTTCCAACAGCTGAGCGTTGTTTACTTTCCGCTTAACAACATTACAGACGAACACAATCGATTACTGAGCGAAAGATATGTATGAGCACACAGCGAACGCGCGTACTGGCACGCAGCACCAGCTGAGAAAAGATACTTGGACTTTACCGTACTTGCAGATTCAATTCGATTTCGATTGCATACCGCACTGACTATTCTCAGTCATAGGCAAGCGATCAGGCAGACGAACGTGCAGTGGGCTTATCTTATCGCAACTATGCATAAAACGAGGCGAAAATGTTGAAAGTACAAACCACAACATTAAAATAAAAGGAAATTATCAATATTAAAAGAATTGTTGTTTTTCTCCGTACCACCAACGGCAACAATAGCAGCAACAGCAGCAACAACAACAACAACAACAACAATAAGACAACAACAGCAACGACAACAAGAACTCAAATAAAAAATGTTATTTAAACTTAAAGATTTCAGTAGCGTTCGACGCTCGGCTACATCAACAGCAACTAAAACTGTCTTCCTACAGAACTCGCAGTTTCTTTCAATTAAATGTTTTACTAGACTAATTTGGATTTGAACTGTGTTAATTACGATAATGTCAAATAAAGTAAATTAGATAAATAATTTAATAGACAAAGTGCAAGAAATAAAGAAACGAGAGCAAAACTGACAAAGCATCTGAAAATATCTCGAACTATCTGCAGCGTTTGGTTTCTGGTGGCAATAAACTTTTATAAAAATCTATCAACTAAGCTAATCTATAGAAAAAGTACAGTGAAATTACAAAATAAAAATCTGCACAATTCATGTGTGTTAAAAACACAAATTAGAAACTAAAACGAACGATTGAATGATATCCATTTCATAACTAAAAAAAATATATCTCAAGCTCAAGATGATCTACAAAGGCTTAACACTATTCAAAGACGGGTGAGTTTTATAAAACAAATATATTTAGGTGTTTAATGATATAACATATAACACATAATATATTATAGATACTATATTTTTAGACTAGTCCAAAATTCAGTTAACCACATATCAGACAGATTACACCAATTGAATTTCATTGCACCCAAAATTAAAATTTGATAAGTAAAAGTAACTATAAAAGTATACTTTTAAAATTTGGTTTTTTTAATTAAATAATGACAAAGTGAGAGAGTGAGACGAAGAGAGAGCGAGAGAGAGCGAGAGAGATAAAGAGAGGGGGAGATAGAGAAATAGAGATATTTTAATGTTTGTGTGAATATTTCCAAACTTATTTCAAAGTTCTTTAGTTTAAATTTAAGGTAAGAATAATTAATTGATTATTTTGAATCCTTCGGTAAAACACTTAGGGGTAACTGACTTAATACCAAAATTTTGGAGAAGTAGTGCCTACCACAAAAGCACCACTATTAGAAAAAATTATAAATAAGACCGAGTAATAAATAAGTAAGTAATGACTTGGGATTTCATATACGTCTTATGGTATATTAATGATTAAAATGTCTGATTCAATCACCAGCAATCAAAATGTTAATATTCCAAAAATCAAAATGAAATTAAAAATTATTTGGGCTCAGTACACTTCACGTTTGATTAGAAATATTTGAAAAATAATTGTTTTAAATCTAAGTTCATTTATTTTTGGTTGATTTATTGATAATAATTTATAGGAACTACATAGGCTGTAGTTAAGTATTACTAATTATATGAAGTCAGTAAACTTGCCAAAATTATTTGTATTGTTCCATGCTTTTTTTAATTAAATTACCAAATTTATTTCCCTTTTTAAATATTTCCGCAGCTTCAGTTCCGTTGTCGCATGTGCCAAAGACTTAATTTCATCGCACAAGCTCGCATTTTTAACAGAATTGATAATGATAGAACTATATTCAAAAAATCTTTACATTCGGTCAGTAACGATTTTGAGAAACGCGTTTAATGGTGTTTCAATACGTTTGATTTAGAGATCTTGAATAAGCCACTATAAGCCACTTAATTAATTCGTTTGACGAGCATATACTTATCCGATTACTATTCGTTTGTTTGTTATCCATTTACCATATTTATGGTTAGAATATAAATAAAAGCAAAAAAATAATAAAAGAAAATCTGTAAAGAAACATAAACAGCTTGGACATGAGCTTATTTTTTTATTTCCGTGTATTTTGTGAATAATTAATTAGATTAATGCAAATACATTATTGTCAAAAAGTTCCATACCTCTTTCATATTTTTTATTACTGTAATCTCAGAGTTTAAACATTGTTGTGGATTAAGTTGGATCTTTATCAAATTTATCCAAATTTAAAACTACACAGACTCGAGTAGATGAATTTAATCATTGTTTCCTTTGACGAAATTCTTCCTAAACATATTGAACATGTGTTGAGGTAAAGTAGTTTACTGAATGTATTGAGTTATATTTCATTTTACAGAATTTTGTTATGCTCATATTTTATTCACTTTTAAATTTCAATTTTAGCTATCCACATAAGAGAGACCTTTGATATTGAATTGACATACGTTATAATACTTACCTATATACATTAAGACTGAAAAGTTTTCGGAAATTCTCATTTAAAATTCGCGCGCTGTATATTTTTCGATATTTTAAGTTTATGTAGTTTGGCAGCACTGTCCTTAATTACTATGCCAAAAATGAGCTCGATCTGTCAGACAGTTCGTTTACGGCAGCTGTTGAAACCAGTTCACCTCAGTAGTGCGTTGCGAAATGTCTTCGACGGTCGTACGACCGTCCTGGAAGGCTTTGTACCACTCATAAACTTGAGTTTTCGATAAAACTGATTCCCCATAAGCCTTTTGTAGCATTCGCAACGATTCTGCACACGAAATTTCGTTCGAAACACAAAATTTGATGCAAACTCTTTGTTCAATATTTTTTTCCATTGTTTTTTTCGCAACGCCCTACTGAGGTGAACTGGTTTCAACAGCTGCCGTAAACGAACTGTCTGACAGATCGCGCTCATTTTTGGCATAGTAATTAAGGACAGTGCTGCCAAACTACATAAACTTAAAATATCGGAAAATATACAGCGCGCGAATTTTAAATGAGAATTTCCGAAAGCTTTTCGGTCACAATGTTATCGTATTGTCCTCGACAATACTGATAACAGAGAAAAGAACCGACTAAGAACCACATGGTATAGTTTCAAATATGGCATATAATCCTTACAAAAATGTATTTAACATATTTATTTAAATTTTATAAAAAATACTCTTTCGAAAACAAATACAAAAGGAAGTTATACATAGATTCATTTTTAGATATTGGATTCATTTTAGATAATCTGAAACAAGTGCATAATTGCCTTTATTTAACTGCAGAAAAAACTAAAAAAATTAGGCTTAGTTTCGTAAAAAGTTTAATACACTTCACGAGTATATCTAAGGTGTATTTACATATTATATTGTTTTTTTTTAATTTGTTTTTGATTTGAAATACAACACAATTACACATATAAACATAACTAGTTTTCGGAAGTTATTTGTGTGCGCGCTAAAGCATATAGCTAACAAGTTGCAGTTATATTTAAATTTTATCTAAGCCTCTAGTTTTATTTAATTAGATCAAGCCTTTGATCAGTTATTGATATAAATGAAGACAGATAAACATTTTATACTAATTTTCTTTTAAGTGCCATTTTATGCAGATGGTCAAATGAACGCCGAGCGATGTTTTAACATCAATATAAAAATGTATCTAATCGTGTTTTCAATTGTATTATTTATCAATATCAGAGATCGTAGATTACTTTAGTTTCCTGATGGCTGAATTTCATTCATTATGTTCAGGATGATTGTTAGACAACAAAATTTTAAATACATTATAATATCTCGAAAACATTATTTGTTGATGATATTATTTAATTTTATTTTTATGAACAACGGGTGTAGTAAATTTGCTAAATGAAACTCTTTTTTACTTGAAAGTTATCTGAATGCATTTATTAGAATATGTAACAATGTAAAAAAAAAGAGACACCTGCGTCATAAGAAGTGCTAGACAGTCAGGCCGCAAACGGAAAATGTGTTGTAAGGGTCAATTAAATGAGTAAATAATGACTTGCCAAAGCATTTGTTCGAGTTCATAAATACTCAATTGTTAGCATATGAAATATAGGAACCAAAATATATCAAAATTAATAAACCGCATTCCAATTGTTATCATTCACAAACATTTTCGTTAAAATAAAATATATCTGTTACCAAAATCCAACACAAAACATCAATCTTAAATTGATGTTTAATAAAGAAAACTAACGTTGATTTGAAAAAAAAAAACGGAAAAGCATTTTCCATTAAAAACATTACATTACAAACACTTCAGCACGAATTCATGAATTCATGAATGCCCAACATTGCTCTACTTCTCTGTGCTAAAGAAATAAAAACAATCTGCAAGATACGTTATCTTTTTTCTTTTGAACTACAAATTACAAATCGAAATGACCGGTTTCCCCTTAAAAACAAGTTTCGTCGTCGTTGCTGCCGCTCAGCTGTTCGCCTTTTTATGCCAACAGAGTTTTTTGCTCTCCTGTTTTGTTTATAAACAAAACGAAATGTGCAAACATTGCTTTTCTTAATTTTATTATTTTTTGTGTTTTGTTTTTCAGTTTTAAACAAAAGCAAAAGTTATTGATTGCGTCATAGGTACATTTCGATTGTGTTGTGTACAAATGACTAAGAAATTCGCAGCAAAATGGAAAAATAATTGCATACTTCTGGGCAGTACATAAAAATATCGAACATGTGCATAACACATTCTATCGTTTTTGTTTAGTTTATTTTTTTTTGTTCATTTAAATGGAAAATTAGACATATTGAATGATTACATTTGCTTAAAAATACAGTTTTATTACAAAAAAATAAATTAAAAAATAAAGATGTCTTAGACCCAAGTAAAACATGCATTGAATTTGGCAAAGGTTACAAATTCAACAATAATTATACATCATTTAAAAATTGCGTAAAATGCGTGTGTTAGTATACAAATCCTAAAAAAGCAACATATAAACAATAAGAAATAACTAGAAAACAACAAGAAGCTATGTAATCCTCATTATATTAGATTCAAATCAAATCACAAGCAAATTTTTTAATAATTAATAATTAATAAATTTTTTAATAATTAATACGTATTACACCGTAGAGCATCCAACATTTTGACATAACTGCAAGCTGAGCATAAATTCAAAAAATTAATGTTAATTTAAAAACTGTACTATTAGGCTCAGAAGTTTCTGTAAAATCTCTATGTAAAAACATTTTTGATATTTAAATTATAAAAATAAATAATTGTGGTATACAATTTTTTAATACGATTTATGTCGTTGTTGCAAGATTATGTGGCGGCTAGCCGACTTTCTAAGTCCTTATCATGATAGGAATGACTTATCTAGTATACTTTTACCGATTTTCTTGCTATTCTTCATGAATCTTAATAATATTTGGCACATCTTGTATCATATAATAGATTAGGCATTATGGCATTAGAATTAGTAATGCCCTCAAAAACTAGGCAATGATTTATAAACATGATGTGATAAAGCAAATTCAATTTATAATATATATATATAATTTCAATTTATATATAATATATATATATATTATATTACGTCCATTACTTTATTAAACACAAATTTCAATTATTTACATTTAAATATTATCTTTGGTTCCAATATTCTTATGTATCTATAATTTTTAATGTAATTTTATTTGGATTTTAACTTTTGTTTTAAATTTTATTTATATAAATTGTTGCCTTATTTTAATATTAATTTTGATAGAAAGCTGATCTTAGTATGTTAATAGTAAAATATATTATATATGATAAGACCATACCTAGTAGAAAAAACATATCAACATATCTGAATGGATTAATCCTTGAAATTTAATTAAAAGCTACACGAAAAAAATGT